ATTTCTATTATCTGCTATTTACAACATCTTAATAATCAGAACAGTGTTACACATTGATTGTTATTTTTTTTTATGTATTCCTTTTGATATTAATTCAATTCTTGTTAACATGCCAACACATCTTTAATTAAATTAATAAAAAAGAGAGTAGGCCGTCAAGCTGATTGTACAGATAGATATACGCACGATACGATAAGTATTCGTCATATATTTTTTTTTATTCAACACAGTAAAAGTAAGTAACATAAACTTCTTATTTTGATAATTATTATGGATGCGAACACATAGTTTGTTAATTTAATATGTATCATTAGGATATTTTTTTTGTGTAAATTTTGTATATAATAAAAGAAGAAATTTAAATCAATTATCAGCTTTTGCAGAAAAGAACTTTATTTTGTCCAGAACATATTCAATCGTAGAAATTTGTGTTATTGTTTGCTATGAAAATGATAATATACATGAAAAGGAAAGTGTAAAAACCAATTTATGGATAAAAGGTCTATGTCTAGAACTAGTTTTACCATGTAAAGGAAATTCATACGTCTGCCGGTTTTTGCCGGTCTAGAAATATTTTTAGACCGGCCGGGCCGGGCCGGTATAAGATTTAAACCGGTCAGGCCGGTCCGGTCTGAATTTTTTTGACCGATTACAACTCTGATATACGGTAAGCATTTAAGTGTGAGTTTTCTCAAGATAAGCAGGCTTAGATCCTATATTTCATATTTCAGCCTACGTCAACAACGGAGGTTGAAGCCATAAGTTACATTCCCAAAGCGAGAACCTCACAGTATCAAAACTCGAAGTTGAGTTTGGGTTTGGTACATGTCTACTACTATTTATCACAAGTGCTGAATTCAATAAACAAAAACTTGCTTTTATCGCTCTCCCCAAGGGTTTGGGTGTGGGTTGACGAAGAGAAGAGCTATGATATATATACAAGGTAGTATGTATGGAATCGAGTTATATAGATATTCGTAAAAACTACTAAAAATGACACTGTATTTAAAGTAGTCAAAGCTGATTTCTTCTGAAACTCGACCAGTATAGATTTCTACAATAATTATTGATAATAACATGCTGTATTAAACAGCAAAAACTAAAGATTATTTAAAACAAAAATCACACGATCAGTATCAAAACTCAACAAATCAATCTTTGTATTACTGATGACGAGCAATGTATTGACAAATAACGATCATGTGTGCAACTGTAAAGATACCACAATTGGAAAGATATTTCGGACACAAAGACTTATCTTATACGTATTGTATCATTGGATTTAATTGCATTAGTTCCAATAAGAATAAGTGATATTATTTATGTAATAATGCGTCATTTTGTTCAGCCTCCTAATTTCCAAACAAAGTTCTTTTCAATATTTATGACGAGCTGTGACGATGACATGTATTCGACTCAACTGTCATAATGATCATTCACAAATCATTTTACTTACGCATGCTATTTTATATTATCTTTTCTTTTATCCTAAAACTCATTGGAATCGTTATTGGTGCTGCCTGTTCCGCTCGTTTTAACTCAGCCTGAATTATCCGTGGTTCCATTGCCAGTTT